AAAAAAACTATACTTCAATTAAAAATTTTAAAAATACTGAAGATGGAAATGATTTGTTAAGAGGTGTCATTTCTGCCCCTGGGGATGGCATGACAAGGGAAGGAGTCACTCCCTTAGCCGAAAAAGCCTGGCCTTTTATTGTCCTTGACAGCTTGCTCTCTTTGGGTCTTTTCCCTCTTGTTTCGTCCTCCAAGAATTTTGATCAAGGCTCTCTCTTTTTATCCTGCTCCATGTTTCCTGACTCCATGTTCCCACTTGAGCCTTCCTGTCTGCAGGCTAAACACCCTAATTTCTTTCTCCTGTAGTGAGTAGTACCTGGGACCTGTTCTGAGCTTGAGATGCCCTTCTTTGAAATTATCCCAACTTTCTCACATGTCCCAAAGGGAACACATCCAAACAACACCTCTAGTGAATGGAATAAACTTTCTGGATGTGATTCTGGAGGGAACAAGAAACTCGTATAATGCAAAAATAATCAATGAATTGTTTTAAAAATTGCTTGCTCTAGAATAGAGTTTGGAACGAGTATACACACATTAATGACCGAGTAGATACATTTCAAATACATTTAGAACTCTCACCAATAAATGTTAATTAACTAATTGACGCGTACACATAGACACCCACCTGTACTAAAAATGCAGCACATACACAACACACACTCATTTAATGACAAATAAAATTACATACCACATATATTTACCCAACCTGCATATACGTAAACACTAATTTATTCACAAACATGAGTACTCAGTCACACATACACACTCAAGTATCCAGGTCCCCCCCAAATACACTGCATGTCCTGGTAAATGTGCAGACATTAATACTTGCACACACTGTACAGTCATTCCCTCAAGTGCAAACCCAGACATCCTCAGACACACCTGACTGATCTATGATCCAGACACACATGCTCATGTTTTGGTGACTCATTCCTTCAACATGCATTTATTGAGCTACTATCATGTGTTGGGCACAAGTAAACAACATCAGACATGCTTAAAACATGAACTCGATCTTCCACCCCTGGGTCTATTCCCTGGCTGATAGAAGCAGGGGGGTAGAATTTGGCTTCAGAGTGGCCCAAATAATCCACAACTTTGCTCTAATTCTCTTAGTCCAGTTCAATCCCAGACCCACCCTGGGAGTTTCTCAGTGTCCCCTGTCCTACCCTGTAGGGCCCCGCTGCGTCCTCCAGGAAGCGCACGGTGTGGGAGCGATGCTCCGGGGCCTCCCGGCACACCACGCACAGCTGCATCTCATCATCCTCGCAGAAGAAGTAGATTTTCTCCCCGTGCTCCTGGCAGATGTCCTCCTCCTCTGAGCCCAGCCTGGACGCCAGCTCCAGACGCTTGATGTTCTCCACCACGCTGGCCAGCTGCCAGTTGGGCCGGAAGCTCCCTGGGCGGAAAGGCGCCTTGCAGAGTGGGCAGCTGGGGGGCTCCTCGGGGTCTGGGCCGGGGATCTCAAGGTAGCGGGTGAGGCAGCAGTGGCAGAAATTGTGGCCACAGTCGATGGTGACCGGCTCCCTCAGGGTCCCTTGGCAGATGGGGCAGTTGACCTCATCGGCCAGGCTGGTCACTGAGGCAGCCGAGGCCATGGCGCTGCTGCGCTCGTGGCCTCTTCAAGGTCACCTTCTCTGCTTGGGTTGGGGGGAAGGGCCCAGAGAACAATGAGGACACACACCACACACTCACACACCCACAAGCACACACCGCCGGTCACAGGGGCATTTTACAAACCCACTGACACCTTCATGGTTGCACACACGCGCACGCGCACACAAGGGCAAGGCACCCACTTGCATCCTGGCAGCCAGGGTTCTGCTAGCCCCCTCCCAAAGGAACAGACACACACCCTCCAACAGCAGAGACAGAGAAAGAGCGGGAGGATGGGGTCACAACATTCCAGAGATGACCTCAGTTACTCTCATGACCTGGGGGTCGCTGCTCCTTCCCGTCCATCCAGAGACACTCGCGGTAGAAAGAAAGTGGTCGTATCTTAACCATCCACAGTTGGAAGGGGCTGTTCTTTGGGGAGCAGGAGGGAGAGTGGGTCCCAGTGCAGTGATGCCACCCCAGCCTCCCTGCAATATGACCAGCTGGCTCCAGGGAGATTGGAGGTATCAGCCAATCCAGGGGAGTGTGGAGACCCAGATAAGGGCGTAGTGCCCTGGGGGTGGGGAACATGGCACAAGTAACTTCACCAGTGATGCCCCAATCAGCCTGCCAGAGGCTTCCAAAGGGGTTGGAATGTACTCCGTGTGGGGGAGGAGAAAGAAAAATAACAGCCGGCATTATTTACAATGATGGTATTCCTCACCCTGCTATAAGTAATTTAAACTTATGATCTTATTTATTCCCCCTGTCTGCTCTACAACATCGGTGCTATTAGGATATTAGCTGGGCTCAGCCAGGTTACTCAGCTTGCCCGAAGCACATAGGGAGGCGGGTGGGAGGCCATCATTCGCCCTCAGATCTGTCTCAGAGCTGTGTTGTCCCATAGACATACAATGTGAGCCACATGTGCAATTTCAAAATTCCCAGCTGTCATATTTTTAAAAGTAAAAAGTGAAATGAATTAATATTTAGCCCCAAATAGTATCAACATAGAATCAGCAGAAAACATCCATCATGAGACATTTTACATTCTTTTAAATTTTTTAAACTTTATGACTTTTATCCGCTTGGGTTTTTTTTAGGGGGGTGTAATTAAATTTATTTATTTATATTTATTTATTTTAAAAGAGGTCCTGGGGATTGAACCCAGGACCTCATGCATGCTAAGCAGGCACTCTACAACTGAACTATACCCTCTCCCTAAATTTTTAATTTAATTTAAGTCTTTGAAATCTGGGGTGTATTTTACACATACAGCACATCTCAGTTGGGACCAGCCCCATCTTGTAGATGGAGGCTCTGGTGTTGGACAAGGGCGGCTCCAAGGGCAGCGCTCTTGGGGGCAGAGGGCGTAGGTGGGGTGGGAAGGGAAGGTGATGTACAGTACAGCTGGAGTGAAAAGGGAGTGAAACAGCGAGGGGCGTGATCATCCAGTGGGGGAATGGAAAGAGTTTTCCTTGGTTTTATCCACAAATGTAGGTGACAGCTGAAGAACTGTGGCTGTTTGATCATTGTCTTGGCTCGGAGTTTGGGAGGGGCACAGGGCTGGAAGCCAGGAGACTTAGATTGAACCCAGCCTTGTAACTTTCTAGCTCTGTGACTTTGGGGAAGTCCCTTTACCTTTCAGTTTACATTTCCTTCTCTGTAAAAGAAAAGTGATTATTCCTGCCCCAAAGGGTTGTTATCAGATTGGATGTAATAATATGAAAATACTAAGCTTTAGATAAACGTGGTTGAATCTGTTTATCTTTTTGAGTTTTCTAAATAGTATCAACATGAATTAATTGTATTATGATTTCTTGCCTTCTCTCTACTGCAGTTAAAAACTAAAATTGAACTACAGTGTTACCCAGACTCTAGGAGGCACAGTGGCATGGGAAGGTGGTGGGGGTTAGGAGTTTAGGAGATACCGGCCTGAACTGGTGAGACTAGGAAAGGAGGGCAGAGGAGGGGACCCAGAGAGCCATCATCACACTTGCAACGTGTGAACAGAGCCCCTGGGACAGAGTTCCCTGGAAGTCAGACACCTCCCACTCCGGCTGAACTTCGCACACCTCAAAGCCAGAAGTTTACGACTCCCACCTGCTCAGTCACACAGGAAGCAGTGTCTCCTCCCCAGTTCTCCCCACCCAACTATGGTCAAGGGAGGGATTCCAGGAAACGCCATCTCCCAGTGACCTCATGGCATGCCCTGCTCCCCACCCCAGGGGCCAGAAGGACCAGAAGGAGTAGAGAAGGGGCTGACCCCGCCACTGATGGGAAATGCTGGATAATTCGAGATGCCCTGGAGTTTGGACTCACTCAGTTGATAAGTGGTGGCTGGGACTCTGGGAAGCACAAGAGGTGGAGCCAGGTGGCTTCTCTGTCCTGTCACTCCCACCTTCCCCTCACTCAGCCTCCTGTTCCTTTCCCTCTGTGACTCATGTACAAGTGAGTCAATTTCAGGGAAAGAGAATTCGTGCAGACTGAGGCAGAGGCCTGCGTGGACGGGCTGGGGAAGGTATCGTGATGCCCTCAACACCCTCTCACAAAGGGGCTGCCTGTTCTGACTGCAAAGGGCCCCTGGAGGATGGAGTGACCGCCACCTGTGGACACACCTTCTGCCGTCTGTGCCTCCCCCCACCCTCCCAGATGGGAGCCCAGCCCTCTGGCAGGGTTCTGCTCTGTCCCCTCTGCAAGAAGAAGGAGCAGACAGAGACCCTCTTGGTCCCCGTGCCCCTGGGCCCTCTGGGGGAGACTTACTGCGAGGAGCATGGTGAGAAGATCTACTTCTTCTGTGAGAATGATGCCGAGTTCCTCTGTGTGTTCTGCCGGGAGGGACCCTCCCATCAGGCCCACACCGTGGGCTTCCTCGATGAAGCCATCCAGCCCTACCGGGTAAGAGGCATGGGGTCAGCTCAGGGCCAGCTGGGGAAGGACTGTGTCCCGTGGTGTAAACAGGGCAAGGATATGCATGAAGGGCCATGGCTTCCACATCAGGGGACCCCAAGAATGTTGGGACACTGGGGAACTCCCAGACTGAGGGGCATGTGGTTCCACTTAGACGAGTGGTCGTTCACAGTCTTAGGGGGAACTTAAGCTCCAGCTGTGAGAGGACACTGCGATGACAGAGCACAGAGAATAGTAGCCATGGTTTCACTCTCTAGGGAAGGAGAGAGAACAGGTTATGGGCAGGGAGGACTTGGTCTCCCGGATCCAGACTGGATATGGGGTTTAGCAAGACCCTGGCCACTTGGGCTTGGAGGGAAGAGAGGGACGAGGAAGGCGTCCC